ACTTTCAGAAACAGAGCCCTCCTTCCTCTGACCTCTCCCAACCCAGAGACTGAGGGTGCCCCTTTGCCGGCCCCACCCGCCAGGAGGGCGATTGCCCAGGAGAATTCTGTAATTCAGACTCACCTTTCCTGAGCCCTCTGAATGTGGCTGTTCTGAAGAGGTAGAAGAAAGCCATCTGATTAAATTGATTCCCTCTCACGGGTGAATTCATCATACCCAATTAACACTTAAACTTATCTTAAATATATTTCTAGTTTTTAGAAGTATATAAATGGCCTGGCCCACTCTTCGAAATGCGCCTGCGGATTGAGCATCGTCCCATGCACCAAGGAGATCACAGTTCGATTCCTGGTCAGGGCAGATGCCTGGGTTGTGGGCTCGATCCCCAATAGGAGCCATGCAGGAGGCAGCCCATCAATGATTCTCTTTCATCACTGATGTTTCTATTTCTCTCTTCCTCTCTGAAATCAATAAAAATATATTTAAAAAATAGTAAAGTAGAGGTTATATTGCTTGAGATGGATGAGAGATGCTGTATTTAAAAGCAAATAAAACCAACATCCATAAATCAGAAAAAAAATGCGTCTTCGACCTTCTCTAAAATTGCCAGAGCATAAAAATCTCAATGTAGCCAAATTAGTTATTGCTTTTGAGAAGGCACATCCCCTAGTTCATTCAGGATGAACAAGGTCAGATTGAAATGCAACTGGGTTCTACGAGTGTATGTTTTCTCGTCATAATTAGTCATGTAAACACGAGGTTTTTCACATGAAAAGAGTAATTCTGGGTTACGATGCTGTTGCCAACTGTAACATGGGGGGAAATTACACCAATTAAAGCAGCTTTAATTAAATCATGGCAAGCAGAAAACAGTTGTGGTTGCAAATTTTAAGCTCATTGCTATTCCTATTTAACCTTTTTTAGAAACCTATTCTACTTGGCCTGTTTTCACCGCTGAGCTCAGAAGCGCCAATCACATCTTTAGAATGGCTTCTTGAAGAAAAAAGAATTATAGGCAGGTTTTAAGTTACGTGATAAATGCCAAATACACATGACCAAATTGTCTGAGGTATTCAAGGGGCACTTCAGTGACCCCTTTCTCTCATGTGTAATTTATTTTTTCATTTCTCCCACTTTTTTTTTGTTTAGCTCACACTTAACACGATGATTACACACAACAACTTGAAAGCATGTACCACGCGTACAGTCTCTCATTTCTGTTTCTAAATGCCTGTGCTTAAGGGCAGATTACCATACGGAGTTGGAAAAACTTTCTTTGAACTTTCGGTTGATTCATTTCTCTTTCAGACCCACAGAGCACAAAACCATTAACTTTATTTCATACAAATGTTTCGCTTACGGTCAGGGTGTCCGTAAAGTTATTGGCTTCATAGTATGACACAGTTCTGGCAAGTATGGCTACAAGTAAATGTAATTAGCCTCTCATCATCCTTCTTTTTAAAAAAAATTAAATTCTTTATTGCTTAAAGTATTACATAAAGCCTCCTACCACCTTCCCTCATAGGTTGGACAGACTGTTCGATGCTTCTATGGCTCTGGTTCCGTTTTTGTTCATCAGTTTATGTCGTTCATTATTCTTAAGAACATTAGGGACCTAGCTAGGTTTCAAGGCGGTGGATTTTTATTTCATCAGTAGTTGGGCGTTCCCTGTCCGGGGTTCCCTCTTGCATCATTAGTTCCTCTCCTCAGAGGTGTAGCTGTGCAGGACGCATCTCTTTCATTTCGCTGAGTGCACGGGGGAAGACCCTTTCCCCTGAGCCGCGTTGGAAATTCATCACAGGCACCCAAGTGACAGCTAAGCTGTTTGAGCGGAAAGGCTAATTATGAATTCCTGGGAGAAGAGCCGTGTGTTGGAGTCCAGTAGCCAGTCTTTCATCTTGGGAGCTGACACATGACCGTGAGCTTGAGCGTCAGTCACGTCTACCAGCGGGAAGACGGGCTCATACGCAACCACTGCTTGACCCTCAGGGTTTGAAAGAAACATTTCCTCTGAGAAGCAAGCAGAGGAGCCTCTGTATTAAGTGAAGAAAATTATCAGAATGTTTGAGCTTATAGCCCATTAAGCTCTCCTGTGCCACCGTTTTTGACTCGGCCTATTTTTTCACCAAATGTTAGATTTTTTTTTTTTTAAAGTATTTCCAACATCTGAAGACAAAATCTTAAATCAACTTAACTTGGATTTTTGCTCTGGATCGCTCAGAAAAAATAAAACGTGTGCCATTAATTAAAATGCCATGTCCCTTTATTCTTGAGCCTCCCTGTGAGCCAGCACTTTCTGTATTAGCAAGACAAAAATGGGCAAGGTGGGGTTTCTCTCCTCCAGAAGTTCAAGTCCAAGGGGAGACAGATAGTTTGAGAGTGACAGTAACGGCAATGTGAAGAGTTCCAGAATAGAGGTATACAACATTTTAAACAAATTGAGCTGCAGGCAGTCTCCAAATTACTTTGCAAGAGACCATTGTTTTTACGTACCCTTTTCAGAGACTAGCTCATTAGCTTGCCTAGATAAAGGATTGCTTTTGCAAAGAGGATTGCATCTCAATTCAATTCAATATTGGGATCCACTAATGAACTTCAAGAGGCAAATTCATCAAGCAAATATGAGAGCAGAAACATTTTCATTTTGTCAGAAACGGATGCAATCTCATTTCCCCTTTCTTCTAAATATTATTATTTTTTCATCGTTCTCATAGTCCTGGCTTAGATGCAGAAATTATTCCTCCTGACATGTCTTCTAGTCGAACCCCCTATCTGTCAGAGGCCAGCACACACTCCGTCTTCTGCAGGAAATCTAACCTGGTCCGTGGGCATCTTTGTCTGCTCTGCGACGGGCAATTAATTCCTCCAATAAATGCCTGGCATTTGACCACAGCTGTCTTTGCCAACTGGATTATAAAGGAAAGCCTCTGTGGCATTCTGGTACAGTGATGAGGGAAGACACCGATGATGATGGTGATGATATGACGGCAGTGATGATGATGAGAGCATTATGGCACATATTTAATGAGCGTTGTTCCATTAATTGTCACCTGTAATAAGGTGCACAGTATTGTTATTAACCCTCTGTTACAGATGGAAAAAACGGAGTCTTAGAGCAATAGCGTAACTGATCCATTTCATTCTGTTTGCACTGATGTTACAGCGCGCTGACAGTTGCAAACAGATAGATTAGTAAAACGCCCTGTTCATTTAATGAGCATTGTTCCATTAATTATCACCTGTGATAAGATGCACAGTATTATTATTAACCCTCTGTTACAGATGGAAATAACGGAGTCTTAGAGCAATAGTGTAACTGATCCATTTCATTCTGTTTGCACTGATGTAAAGAAATACATTTAAAAAAATGCTTATTTAAAAAAAAAATAAATTGTCCCAAAGAATTTGATCATTGATCGTTGTTCCATTAATTGTCACCTGTAATAAGGTGCACAGTATTGTTATTAACCCTCTGTTACAGATGGAAAAAACGGAGTCTTAGAGCAATAGCGTAACTGATCCATTTCATTCTGTTTGCACTGATGTTATAGCGCGCTGACAGTTGCAAACCGATAGATTAGTAAAAGGCCCTGTTCAGTTTTATCCACTCATCTCTCTGTCTCCGGTTGGGAGATAGGTAGATAGATAGATGATAGATAGATAGATAGATAGATAGATCTATTGCTTGTATCTAGGTAATGGGTAATATACATCCTCTTTTGAGATACTAGAATCTTTTGGACTTAAATTGTCCCAAAGAGCCCTAGCCGGCTTGGCTCAGTGGATAGCGCGTCAGCCTGCAGACTGAAGGGTCCCAGGTTCGATTCCAGCCAAGGGCACATGCCTGCGTTGCGGGCTCGATCCCCAGTGGGGGGTGTGCAGGAGGCAGCCGATCAATGATTCTCTCTCATCGATGTTTCTATCTCTCTCTCCTCCTCTCTTCCTCTCTGAAATGAATAAAGAAATACATTTAAAAAAATGCTTATTTAAAAAAAAAATAAATTGTCCCAAAGAATTTGATCATTGATTAGAGTTACTTTTCATAGCCCCTCATCCCCGTTGCAGCTTGCTCTGTGAGTTGGTCTGCTTTGAACATTCTCCTGGTCCAGTTGGCTATTGCTAATCGTGAGAAAGCAGGTAACCCAGTGAGTAAAAACCACGCTTGATAGGAAAATCGTCGGAGTGAATGCGTAAGGGAATGGCAGTAAATGCAGCAGATACATTTTTATACGTGGCCCTTGGGGCTGTTTTTAGCTTTCAGGAACTAGATTTCTTTTCGTCTGTCTTTGCCTCCAGAGGAAACCCTAATGGTGGCTTTCAGGACTTCTGTTTTCCTTCTCAATGAATTCAGGAGAGATAATAACATTAATGAAGTGTGCATTTTGCTAGGACAGTGGTTTCTGACAGTTACAGAAATAAGCACTTTTATCTCAGCCTTTCCAAGCAGAGCCTGTACAGCCAGGAGAGCGGCATTATTCACAGCGCCTCTTAGTAGGTTAATGGCGCCTGAAATGGCCACTTTCCCTGCTGTTTTCTCCATCATTTTTAACCAAACTTAAAATATTAATGTTTCAGAGTCTGGCAAGGTAGGAGTATCCCATTATTCTTGGTTGAGCATGACGGATGTACAACATTGTTATGAAAAAACTGGTTTTTATGAAAAATTCAACTTCTGAAAGGTTTTAATTGTTTTGTCATTGTCATTTAGATGGAGGACGTCATCGCACGCATGCAAGATGAAAAAAACGGAATTCCCATTCGCACTGTCAAAAGCTTTCTTTCCAAGATCCCTAGCGTCTTCTCTGGTAAGTTTGCCTCCGAATGGCTCTGTGTCGTCCAGGTCTTCCCCAGAACTACTTACAATCTCGTCTAGCTTTTCACTCTGGAAACTCTCAAACTCATGACTTATCGCTACTGACAAAATGCTTACGTCGTATTTCACATCATGTTGGACACTTGAGATGATGATAAAACAAAACAAAGAAGCAGAAATCATGACCCTATGCTTAGTTGCAAAGACTCAAGGACAAAAAACAATCTCAAAATAAAGATGTTTGGGGCAAACGTGATGTGGACTGTAGATAGGAGTTAGGGGAGTGAAAAAAATCAATTGGAGGGGAGTCAGGAGAATGTTTGTGAAGATCAGGGATGAGCTGAGTTTCAAAAATGAGCCCGGCCGGTGTGGCTCAGTGGTGGTGTGGCTCAGTGGTTGAGCATCAACTTATGAACCAGTTCGATTCCCAGTCAGGGCACATGCCCGGGGTTATGCACTCAATCCCCAGTAGAGGGCGTGCAGGAGGCAGCTGAGCAATAATGCTCTCTCATCATTGATGTTGCTCTCTATTTCTCTTTCTCCCTTCATCTCTGAAATCAATAAAAATATATTTAAAACAACATCTTTAACAAGACTCCCTACCCGACGGTCACACTAGCCTCATGGTATGTTCCCTCTTGCTTTCTTGGTCCTAGCCACAGAGGCCACTGTTCATTTCTGGTACTTCACTCAGCTCTCCGTTGCCATGGCCACCTGCCACCACGGAGCTGTTTCTTCAATCTGGAATGCTTCCTCCACTTTGCTGGGGGCGGGGTTCCTCTATTCCCTTTGCTCAACCTAGGCCTACTCATCTCGGGGCTCCCTCAGTTTCCTTCCTTAAATACACTCATCCAGTCTCAGGTAGTACCTCCAGAAATACCCACCGCCACCACCTCACGCCCTGCAGATTCACCGAAAACGAGACACGTGTATTGGCATGCCGCCCCATGACTCTTCAGGGCGTGTGGGTGTTCTCATATCCCGGATGGTCAATATTGGGATGATTCTAGATCCTGGTGAAGCAAGCCTTCCCCTGTGGGATGCATTTCATGTCTTTCAATGGATTGACCGGGAGCTGGCTGTGTTCCCCATGTAGCCACAGCAGGCAGTGAGCCAGAATTCTCTCTTCGGTTCCCTGTGAATGGTGTCGGTTTTCATTAAAATTGAATATGCCACGGAGATCAGACAGGATTGCCGGTGGCAGCTATCAAAGAAAACGGGCTGATTAGCGTTTCTGAAGGTTGAACTTTTAGGGCGTGAATTCTCCGGAGCCAGAGAGGCTGGTGCGCGCTCCAAATCGCTAAGCACCGTCCATGGGGAAAATGGTCAGAAATGCAGAGGGAGTCCCGGCTGGCCATTCCTCTAGTTCCCGCAGAGCTCTTTTCTGGGTTTTTATTATTATTAGTTTGAAACGGTGCTCCATTCCAAGAACGTAGGTGATTATGGAGTTGAATCTCTTTGCTCCTTTTCTTTTGCAACTTCAGACGATTCCTCACTGACTGGGTCCTCAATTAGGAGGAGCAGAATTTGTGGTCTCTGTGATGCAGGGTTGTTCTTAGCCATGAAACCCGAGGGGTATCTATGAACTTAAAAAATCAAGTTGCCTTGCCCTAACCGGTTTTGCTCAGTGGATAGAGCATCAGCCTGCGGACTCAAGGGTTCCAGGTTCGATTCTTGTCAAGGGCATGTACCTTGGTTGTGGGCACATCCGTAGTGGGGAGTGTGTAGGAGGCAGCTGATCAATGTTTCTCTCTCATCGATGTTTCTAACTCTCTATCCCTCTCCCTTCCTTTCTGTAAAAAATCAATAAAATTAAGGACACATTTGTAATAACTTAACTAATAATAAAAAAAATCAATAAAATATATTTTTTAAAAAAAATCAAGTTGCCTTGAGTCCTGGCCAGTTTTCTCAGTGGTTAGAGCATTGGGCCTCAGACTAAAGGGTCTCGGGTTCGATTCTGGGTCAAGAGCATGTGCCTTGGTTGCAGGCTCCATCCCTGCCCTGGTCGGGGCAGGTGTGGGAGGCACCCAATCAATGTGTCTTTCTCACATCGATGTTTCTCTCTCTGTCTCTTCCCCTCCCTTCCACTCTCTCCAGGATTACCAAAACAAAACAAAAAATCAAGTTGCCTTTAAATGTAATAATTTAAGTGTGTCCTTTATTTCTCTAAGGGTCGTATGGATAGTTCTCAGTGTCATGGAGACATGATCTTTGTAGATTTAATCTTATCTTGTGGGTCGCGGCGCAGGTAAGGAGGAAACGGAGCAAGCTTGGTGACGTGAGCTGGGCCAATGCAAGTTGTAATAGCTACGTAGTTTGCATCTAAATGTTTTTGAGAACCGCTTTCAAGATGCCCTATAGGACTTAAAACTGATTATTTTTGGAGTCGATGTTGAGACAGTAAGAATAAGGAAGGCGGAATAGATTTCCTTGGGAGACTCTAAGCCTAGGTACTTCTGAGATGCTTTAAGAATCTAAGACACTTCTTTTTACTGTGAAATACTTTGTCTACCCTTGGGATGGCTATCCTGGATCTGACAGAAATTCAGAGAGAGACAGATTGCTTTTTAAAAACAATTCTCCAATCTCTGGGCAGAAATGGTGCTTCGAATATGTTGTTTGTGTGCCATCCCAAAGAAAACTCAGGAATGCAGAAGGGAAATGTCTGAACTGTTCCTAGGAGAAAAAAAGTGCCTTGACTATACTGGCAGTTCTTCAAGTCCCGTTCTGAAACAAACAAATTCAGGGACAAAACAAGAAATGTTAACTAGATCGGCAAGAGACGTGAACATTTGCCACAAAGAAAAGAAAAAGTCTTATTATTATTATTATATTTTTTTTTTGGTCATCTGTCCCACCTCTCTGGTAAAATGACAGGGCGACTGGCGTAGAGCAACTACACAGTCCACCCAGCTGGGAACACAAGAGGCTGAGCCGCCACATAATCAAACAGATAATTTAATTTGTCTCTGCTGTGACAGTCTTCACCCCTCTCGGTTGTCATCCTTTCTTTTTTTGTAAAATAGCAGCACGCATGATTAGAAGCTGCAAAGAACTCCCAGGCACCGGTCCCAGGTCATGACCTTACTAATGGCCAGATGCTGCTGAGGAATGAGACGCTTAGCTGTTTCGTGGGCTCTCGCTGCATTTGCCGAGAAATAATTCACTTTCAAACGCGGCTGGATCCGTTTGATCTGACCAAGAGGAAGAGCAAGCTCTTACTCGTTTTGTGGCCACCAGAATGCTAGGCGAAACGGCAAGATTTCAGGGATCTTATTTTTAGCGTTACTTTCTCTACAGCCATGCGGACCCGGCCCAGAAACTCTTTTCTCTTTCATGGGAACTGTACATGCTGGTCTGCTTCATGCAATGGTTTCTTAGCATCTAAATTTGCTACTTTATTTATTTTTAAAAAATATATTTTATTGATTTTTTACAGAGAGGAAGGAAGAGGGATAGAGAGTTAGAAACATCGATGAGAGAGAAACATCGATCAGATGCCTCCTGCACATATACCACTGGGGATGTGCCTGCAACCAAAGTACATGACCTTGAATGGAATCGAACATGGGACCTTCACATCAATGCATCATTGATTGGCTGCCTCCTGCACACCCCCTACTGGGGTGGGGGATCAAGCCTGCAACCCGGGAATGTGTCCTGACAGGGAATCAAATGAATGACCTCCTGGTTCATGGGTCAATTGATGCTCAACCCCTGAGCCATGCCGGCCGGGCCATTCCTGTCTTTGTGCTTCCCAGCACTGTGTTCGTCTTCATGGGATTTATTTCACCTGGAAGTTTGTCCTCAATGGACACGTGACACGATTCTTACCAAAGGCCGTGCACATCTGGAGAAGAAAAGAAATGGCGCATTTCAATGTGTAGCCCCTGTGGTGCGCGCAGTGCCCGGCACAGACAGGCACTCAGCCAGTGGTAACGACTTCTCTTAGGACAGCTGAGGGCGCGGACATGCGATCACACCCACGGCACATCTCACTGCTCAGCGTCCCGGCAGTGGAAAGAGCACACATCTCATTATTTGCTCTGTCGGCATCCGGCGCTGCACGATGCTTTTATCTCTGCGGGGAGCACTGAGAAGATGGCAGCTCTGCTCCGTTGGCGATTACTAGCTTCGATGGGCTGCAGAGTGGAGCACCAGGAAATTGAACGCAATTTTCCAATTTCTCCAGAGTCCAAACACACTCTCCGTTTAAGTTTTGTTATCTGGTTTACGCATTGGCTCGCAAAGATAGACTCACCCCGTGTGCCCTGCAGCACTGTTTGCGGGGCCTGTGGCAACAACCAACGTGTCCTTGATAGAGGATTAGACAAAGAAGCGGTGGTATATGTGCACTAGGAACTGCTCCTCACTCGCCAGAGAAGATGCAATGCTGCCATTTGCAAAAACCTGGATGGATCTTGAGGATATCGTGCTAAGTGAAAAGAGTCAGAACAAGCTAAGAGCCATCTGACCTCACTTATATGTGGGATATAAAACTGAAAGTCATAGACACAGGCAGTAGTGTGGCGGTTACCAGAGGGAAGAGGGGATGGGGGGAGGGGTGCTAAGTGAAAAGAGTCAGACAGAACAGGCTAAGAGCCATCTGATCTCACTTATAGGTGGGATATAAAACTGAAACGCATAGACACAGGCAATAGTGTGGTGGTTACCAGATGGAAGAGGGGATGGGGGGAGGGTAGTAAAAGGTAAAGGGGGCCAAATATATGGGTGATGGAAGATGATTTGACTTTTGGTGGTGGGCACACAGTGCAATATATGGAGCATGTATCATTGAAATGTACACTGAAAGCAATTTTATTAAGCAATATCACCCAACAAATTTAATTTTAAAAAGTTGATTTTTTTTTAGAACACTGGACATCCCCAAAATGAATGTAAATATTTTTCAAAGTCTATCTGAAATAGTGAAGAGGGTATATACAGGTTGGAAAGAAACCTGGATTTCAGTTTTACTTCTCATGATGCAGAGGAAAACAGGAAA